CATGGAATCACCCATTTATATATATTTTTATGTTTTATAGTATTCTTCTTCCTGCTATTTTAAATCAAAATCAATCAACAACAACAACACCATCATCAGTGGTTGAAACTAATCCAATTCCATTAGAAAAACTTACTGAAGTAAGTTAAAAAAAAACAAAATATTTTTTTTAAATTAATTTTTGATTGATTTTAGTCAACAAATAATGATCCGGTGAAAGAAATGACTGAAGATGAATTAATTAAAGAAATTCAAATGAGTTCACAAGCTCGTTATGTGTAAGTTAAGCAAAAAGATAATATTTTAATTCATGATATTTATATTTCTAGAACACCACAACCACCATATCGTACAAGTTTATTTGTTTGCCATCATTGTCAACAACCTGGTCATATCAAAAGTCAATGTCCTTCAATTCTGATAGGTTCTACATTCGAAATGGTTTTATCAAATGATAAACAACGTCGATCTTTATTTTCATCTATACCTTTTTGTGTATCTGATGATTTTAATAGTAATAATAAAGATCCTAATAGAAATTTATATATAAATATGAGAACTTGTTCAGAATTCTTCTTGAATAAAAAAATCGAAATATTAATTCAAATTTTTCTCTTCAGCAAACATGAAGTTCAAATGCGACTGGTAATACAACAAATTCATCATCTACTGTTGGTGATGGTACACAAACAACAAGTTCAGGTCCAATTAGACCAGCTGTACCACATTCATCACATATTGTTACACGTCATGAACCATATCAAATGTCTTATCATTATCGTGGAAATCGTTCTCATCGAGGAACAGGTCATCTACGTGGTTAACCATTACCTTAACAGACCACAGGTATACCATGTGATCGTCTTATTCCTGTACCGACACATATACCTGATACATTGAGAGATCAAACAGGTGCTTCTGTTGTACCCAGACAAATTGCGTAAGTTGAAAAATTTTCAAAATTGATAGAATTTATTTGAAAAATATTTATTTTTCTAGAGAATTATATGTCGAAAGAATTGAAAAGAAAGATGCATTAGGTCAAAGTACACGAGAAACAAATGAAAAAAATGTTTCATTATCAAATATATATTTATCAACATCTGCTGATGAAGAACCTCCACCAAATGATCTTCTGCGTCCAATATGTAAACGTATTTATGTTGATGCTGGTATTATACCTTGTTGTAATCTTAGTTTTTCTGATGATTGTAAGATAAAGAAATTTTTTTATTTGATTTTTTTTCTAATACTTTTCTCTATCTAAAGGTATTCGTACAGCTTTAATCGATAGTCCTGAACATGAATGTCCTCATCGTCATTGTCAACATGTTGCTATTGATCAGATAAATCCAAATTTATATTTACGAAATCATATTAAACGTTGGCATGAACGACAAAATCAATCATCTTATTCACATATGTCATTATCTCAACATACATCACAAACATTAGATCAAGATTCGGATAAAACTCCAACAAATCTTCGAAATTCTAATGATAATGTTGAATATGATCCCGATATACCTTCAACAAATTCACAACAATCAACAGCATCAATAAAAACTGCACCGATTATTATTAAAATACAACCACATGAAAAAGTCAATCAACACAACCAATTGTTTCAACTCGACCAGCTGATATGACATTTGAAGATGAAAAAATATCTGATTCAGATCAAATAACATCAAGGTTTGCTTGATTTTCAAAGAAAAATCTATTCATTTTTCAATTGATTATTTTTTTTCAAGTCAAAAAGATGTTAATCCAATTCAAGAAACACCATGGATTGTTTCGAATGAAAAAAAAAGAACGTGAAACTCCTCCTGCTCAATTAACACCGGCTAATCCAATTTATACAATACTATCACCTTCAACAAATGCTGTTTTTCCGCATTATTATCCAACATATCCTCCACATCATAATATAATATATCCTCATCATATTCCGCCAAAACCAGCATATGGTCTTTATCCAATTCAAACATAAGTCTATTAAAAAGGGTATAACTTCTCTTCTCAATATGCCATCAAATGTTGTGAGTTTGGAATATAAGGTTCCTCTAAATGTCCCAATGTCTTCTGAGTTAGATAGGAAGAATACTCTGCTTTTCGACTGCTTTGTGGTATAGAATGATGTCTGAAAAC